TGCACGCAACTATCCCAATGTAAGAAGGAATAAATAACTTTATAATGGGTTGTTCAGGTTGTGTTGATAAGAGCATTATTTTCTGTAAGATAAGTATCTGGGTGGGATTGTAATTATGGGGGTTTTGGGGGGGGGGGGGGTTCTTTGAAGGCTACGGGGGGGGGGGGGGGGGGGAGGGGGGTCTCGTGGCCTAGAGATTAAGGTGTTGGCCTCTCATTCAAAAGGTCCCGGGTTCGCATCCGGGTAGCGACCGAAAAATTTTCTTCTCTAAAATTGTCTCCTTTCACCTCCTTTCCTGCTCTCTAGCAATGTTCTGTTGTCTGCTTTCATTTCCACTTTCTGCCCCCACCCCCTCACCTCCTTTGCCCCCTCCTCTGGGCTCCCGACTCTTTCTACAGCCTTTCTACTGCTACTCCTTGGCTCCTCCTTACTGCTGTCTTTCTGCCACACCCCTGATCTTCTGGTAGGAAAGATCTACACCTAGCCTTCTCGGACAAGCGCGAAAAATCTCGGAGGGCCCGTGTGCAAGTTGCGCACGTTAAAGATCCCTTGGTGGTCTAAAATCGATAAGAGTAGGCTTCAGCCGCCACCTGGGCAAAATTAAAAATTTCCTACCAACTGAAAATACTAGGTGTGTCCCGCGCGCTCATATGATCGTATGCAGTTGCGAGCGCCGTAAAACACTTTACAAAGACAAAAAAGAAGGCCACTGCTAATAATGTAGTATGTAGCCACTTACTGCCGCAGTGTGTCTCCTTAGTAACGTCTGCCCAAGCCTTTGCAAAATACATGTAGACTTTATTGCTGTGCTTGTGGTCTGTTTTGTCATCAACACACCTGTACTTGAAGACCTCCTCAAGTCGTTTCTCCTCCTCTGGTCTCTTCAAACGCCAAGAGCTGAGTACCGAGTAGCAAAATATCACACAAGGTAGGCCTTCACACAGCTGGCTACAGTTAAAAATGCTGATTTTTACACAAGTTTATCTCAATAAGTTACAAAGCTTTATATTCACTGCATGTAAAGACAAAATACACCTTTGGAGAGTGTTTATTTCTGTTTCTTTTGTAGCTCCAGTGACGTGTTGAAGAGATAGTTTGTGCTTAACGGGCATTTAGCAAATGGTTTACTCGTAGACTTTGCTCATTTCAAGGCCCTGATTATGAACATGACATTAGATCTTTAATCCGAACTTGCTAAAATTTGATTTTGGGGGGGGGGGCAGCTCCTGCTGGGCCTATGGCTGATGAGTCACCACACGTTGTATTAGTAAAGTTTTACAGCGCTGGCAACTGCATAAGGCAGGGTTGGGTTGATTTAAATCAGGTCGATTTAAATCAGTTGATTTTTAAAATTTAAATCAACTTGATTTTAAAAAATAAAAATCAGTGATTTAAATCACTTTTTAAAAAATGTATTTTTATTCAGTTTTTACATATATTTCAACGTTCAGAATTCCTTTCCTTGGTTTCATAAAACAGATATACGGTTTAGCAGACTAATATAATCATGCTTTAAAGTCTGCTTTTTGTGAAATAATACAGTATTCAATTTACTTTTTTTTCCATAAATTAAAATCAGAGCTGGGTTGATTTAAATCAGTTGATTTTAAAAATTTTAATCAACTTGATTTTTAAAATAAAAATCCATGGTTTAAATCACTTTTGAAAAAATGTATTCAGTTTTTACATATTTAAACATTCAGAATTCCTTTCCTTGGTTTTATAAAACAGATATAAGGTTTAGAAGACTAATATAATCATGCTTAAAAGTCTGCTTCCCCTCTGTCACTGTAAAATAATACAGTATTCAATTTACTTTTTTTTCATAATTGAAATTAGGCTAATTAGCATTTTCTTTTTCTTTTTAGACAAACACAAGCGCGTGCTCACACACACACTGTAATAAAATGCAAGTTTATCTATGCATAATTACCCCCCCCCCCCCCTTTCCTTTTAGACTGACATTTTCTTCATTTTTTGTCTGTAGCCATAATTCACTGATACAGCAGATTAACGCTTTCTTTTGCAGTTGCTTAAATTAATCATTAGTTAAAATAAAGGCAATGCAGTTTGCACTAAAAGAACATACTTTTAGCCACCAAAAATCCCAAACTGTGTCAACATTTTAAAAAAAAAATTTAAAAAAAAATTAAAATCCGATTTAAATTTAAAAAATCTGATTTAACTTTAAAAAATCGATTTTTTAAAATTTTTATTTAAAAAATAGAAAAAATCACCAACCCTGGCATAAGGTCATATGAGCGCCAAGGGGTGGATGTCAACAGAGAAGTCCAAACGCGGATTCTTCAAGCTTACTATGCTCACCTCTGTAGCCTCAACAGCACAAAGTCTGCTTCGACAATCAAGACACCCCAGAAATAGCCATTCACAAAAGAGTGATAAACATACAAAAGAAATAGAGGAAAAATGACGATAGTAAGGATGAGGAAAGAAGAAGCAGCAGTTCCCCCTTGTTCCGGCACAGTATGAGCATGACATTGATGAATAAGCCCATTTACAATTCTACTGTGCATATATGTTAATTAAGTTGATGTCCCTCCTTTGGGAATGGCTCAAAGTCAAAGACACTTCAGCCACCACACTGCCCAGCTAAAATGCAGCAAGTAGCATTGCAACCCTCACATCTTCTGTCAGGACATGTCGTGTCATTTCCATGGACACAGCCAGGGTTGGGTTGATTTAAATCAGTTGATTTTTTAAATTTAAATCAACCTGATTTTTTTAATTTTTTCAAAAATTTATTTTTATTCAGTTTTTACATATTTCAACATTCAGAATTCCTTTCCTTGGTTTCATAAAACAGAATAAGGTTTGCAGACTAATATAATCATGTTTAAAAGTCTGCTTTCCCTCCTTTCACTGTAATATAATAGTTTTCAATTTACTTTTTTTTCCATAATTGAAATCAGAGCTGGGTTGATTTAAATCAGTTGATTGTTTTTATATTTTAATCAACTTGATTTTTAAAATAAAAATCAGTGATTTAAATCACTTTTAAAAAAATGTATTCAGTTTTTACATATTTGAACATTCAGAATTCCTTTCCTTGGTTTTATTAAACAGATATAAGGTTTAGTAGACTAATAATAAAATATAATCGTGCTTAAAAGTCTGCTTTCCCCCCTGTCACTGTAAAATAATACAGTATTCAATTGACTTTTTTTTCATAATTGAAATCAGGGTTGGGTTGATTTAAAAACAAAACTCAGTGATTTAAATCACTTTTAAAAAATGTGTTCTGTATTTACATCTTTAAACATTTAGAATTCCTTTCCTTGGTTTTATAAAACAGTTATAAGGTTTAGTAGACTAATATAATCATGCTTAAAAGTCTGCTTTCCCCCCTGTCACTGTAAAATAATACAGAATTTACTTTTTTTTTCATTATTGAAATTAACATTTTCTTTTTCTTTTTAGACAAACACAAGCGCACACACACACACACAGACTGTAATAAAATGCAAGTTTATCTATGCATAATTACCCCCCCCCCCCCCTTCCTTTTAGACTGACATTTTCTTCATTTTTTCTCTGTAGCCATAATTCACTGATATATTTATATTAGCAGATTACGGCTTTCTTTTGCGGTTGCTTAAATTAATCATTAGTTAAAATAAAGACAATGCATTTTGCACTAAAAGAACATACATGTAGCAACCAAAAATCCCAAACTGTGTCAACATTTTTTTTTTATCAAAAAAATCCAATTTAAATTTTAAAAATCTTGATTTAAATTTAAAAAATCGATTTTTTAAAATTTTTATTTAAAAAATCAAAAAAATCACCAACCCTGGACACAGCCAAACGGAATTTTCACCGATTTCTTAGGAAAAAAACGGTGCTCCTTTTCAACTACCAGCTTCCCGAGACACGGATGAAAAACGGCTGGTTGATTTCTCCTCCATTCCAATGGACACATGGCCGGACCAATATCTTCGGCGTTGTCTTATTTTCACTTCATTATATAATTTCTTTCTATTTCTATAGTGCGGTCAAAAATTCATGGAGCAACTTACCCTCAAAATATCTCTTTAACGGGCGAATCAATGTCACACATACTCTGGATATCACTTTGTATCAGTTTGTCTTAACTTAATCACATTTTTCCTCAACAACTGAGGCTCGATTAAATAACTTTTCTTCATATTATATAGAATACTGTAAATCTCCATCACGCAAAAAATGGGATTGTTCAAAGCACTTCCCACTTCTCACACACATATATATATATATATATATATGGCCTACGTCACAGCTCGCCAATGACACTTTTTAGTGGCAAAACTTCTTACAAGAAATTAATTTTATAGTGAACACATTTTTTGCACTAAAGGTTCCCTGAACATGACGTTCAATAAGCATAACATTGCGATTAGAAAAAAATGACAGACTTGTTTTTAAAAGCGTCATTTCCCAAATGGTAAACTTTTAGTTTTAGAAATGTGTAGAAACCACTCACTGGGATTTCTCAGTATTTATTAAGGACTTTTCTAGAACGCAGTGTGCAGGAGTTTGAAAAAATATAAAGTTGGAGAATCTACGTTCAATAGTTTTTAAAAGAGATTATATTGGCAATAAGTTGCACCTTGCATTTTTTACCTCACTATAATAAATCCCAATCACTTAGTTCGCTAATGAAACAATTCTTTTTAAACTTCTAAATTATACACTAAAAGATCAAGTCAAATACACTAACATACCCAACAGGAGATAGACCCTACATACTACATGTACAAGAAACTGTTTTGAATCACAGGATCGACAGCTCAAAAACTGTTTTCAACAGCTCTAGTATTTTAAGGTCTAATATATGCATGAACCAACAGATGGTCGTTTGAAATCATTCAGCTATCTTATTGGACCAAACAATGAGGGCTGCACTTCCGTTTTCTATTATTTCCATGTGCTGAAAAGGTAAAGCAAATAATCTAATCATGTACCAGGCCCGTAGTGTGACTCCAAATAAGTAAGACTCATTATCCTGCATCATAATGTTTATTCCATTATGTCCATTCATTCCACAAGTGCTAAAAACTGTAGGAGACGAGAGGTGAACCCATGGACACTGTGGTTTTTAATCATAATCATGACTGGACTGGTGATTTTTATCATATGATTAATACAAAAACAAAAACCAAAAAAAACAAAAACAAGATTGACCAATCTGCATAGATGTGAAATCTCACAGGACTTGCAACAGAATGGAAAGATAGCCAGATGAGGACAGAAAAACAAACCAAGGTTACACGTTTTTGCTATAGTCGCATGTATTTCAAATATTAGAGAAGTGGTAAGCATTATTCCTTAAATCAAGTACAATTGAAGCATTTGAGAAAACATCCAGCATACTGTTGCCTTTACTGGTTATCACTGCAAAGACAATACAAGAGCAATATCTTTGTCTGATGAAAACTCCCTAAAAAGTCACACGAAGCCGGCACACAAAACCTTGAATCTTCTTTCTAACTTGACATTCATGCAATTCTCAAGATAATTCCGCTGAATCTTCAGCTATTTCATAGAAAATTTTCTAACAAAGCCCTTCATACAGGCTAAGAAGATAATAGCTACACAAAAGGAGCCAGGCTTTTACTCTCATCCTACATAGAGCATTTTTGCGTAGAAGACCAGTACGTTTAATTATTTCTGTCCTCGTAGCAATCTCGAAAGTCCAGCAAAATCTTCTGTCATTCCATTAATGTTCTGATGCAACTCACTGACTTTCTGTTGTCCAGTAAAAATTGACAGAGACAAACAGCTGATGTTACAGCTAAGCTGAATGAAGCAATTTTGACTGCACTGTGTATCAAAAATGTGGAGAGGATGATGCTGGACTCTCTGCTGGACCAAAAAAAAACAGCCTTTGAAAATTCTTGTTAAAACCCAAGACATTTTTTTTTTAGTTTTGACGCGGACAACATTGCAATTAACCATGATGAGAATGAAAGTTGAAAGACATTCTCACTCACCCACCCTGGTAATCCTGACCCATTTCAGAGCTACTTTTTAACAACTCTTGACATTCTGAAAATTAAGAAGCAACCACTCCCCCCAGCCCCAAACTTTTCTGTAAAAGCCTAGCTAGTACATTACATTAGAACCAATCACAATAATAAGAAGAGAGATTTCATTGGAGGCCACACAGAGTTGGGAGCAGGGCAGTCCGCACAGCTGTGTGGCCACGTACTCACCAATCCGGTCCAAGGAAAGCATGCAGTCTGACCAGAAAGAGGAACAGAAGTGGACACGAGACTTTGACTTTAATTTTTAAAAACCGATTATAAGTGATTCATGTACAAAGCTTGTTATGTACAATAGGTACATAGCTGTATTTACACAATAGTAGACTTGCAAAGGAGTACATCGCATAGTATGTGGAAAGTTCTGACCTGTCAGTCGTTCACTCCAAAAACAAAAAAAGATTATCAGATTGTGAAATATTCCCACAAAAGCAAGATAAAAATCAGACATTATACATGCATAAGATATCAAATACAAATATGAAGAGCTTTGGGACAAAATAGCTTCCTGTAACTTACAGAAATTCCCAAGATTTCAACCTCTATATTCCACAGAAAATGATGAGCAGGATCTTTTAGTGTTAGTTTTCAAGCGCTTTCCAAAAACATGCTGTTAACCACAATTTCAAACAGCTTTGATTCAGTTTTTCCTTCAACAACATCTAACAAATCTGGAATTTAAAAAATACCCCCAAAAATCAATCAATTTTAACTGTCTTTTCTTTTTTGAATACAAAAGCCCTTCATAGCTCTAATCATATCGAAGCACACGAACACAAAACTAAAAACATGAATCATTTGATAGGCTGCAATCAACTCATCTACTGAATATAAAAACAAATCAAAATATTCTATCTAGTACCAAATTGTCCAAATGTTCTCAAGATTTTGTCAGCCGAGGACAGATGTCAAGTAACTGTACACATTTGGGACGTTGGATTTATCTTTTCAAAATACTGCTTAGACTAGCAAACGCACAAAATGCTGCCGTTTTCTTCACTGCATTGTTATCCAAGGGGTGGTTGAGACCTGAGACCAATATGAACAACGACCTCGCCTGTCACAATCTCCATTCTCATACTCGCCGCACAAACAGAAAAATGATGACACCACCGTTGTTCTCACAGATTCTGCACTCAGGGTAGGACTACATCATGTTGTGCTCTTCAACATTTCAGCAATGCTGCTATGCTAGAACTGTGAATACACACCCTCGGGACACGGACAAAGAGGCACACATGCAAAACACAAAACATCAACACCAAAAAATCCAGAGTCATAAAACACCAAAGCAATCAATCATTTTGATCTAAGACTAATAATAAAGAGTCTCTTCCAAAAAAAGACAAATAATCAAGTCTCTTAAAAAAAAAGACAAATAATCAAGAGCCTCTTCCAAAACTATATTATCATAGTAGAAAAAAACAAAGCTTACAACAAAAAGGAAAAAGAAAGGTAAATAAGACATCTCATCAGCAGCTGAGAAAAACGTACTGAGACCTCTATAAATTAATACAAAAACTGTTATTAAAGGAGTCTCTACATTTATTTCCACTTTGGTCGACTTGATAAAAATTCAATATCATACTCATCTCAAAGGACAGACGGCAAAAATTACTCTCCTGCTGTAGTTGAAAGGGAAGTAATGCTAGTCACAGGCGGTATTTTCACGGAGGAGGGGGGACCTTGTGGATGAACTTACAAAGCTCTGCAAAAAGGTCACTCACATCACGATTTATCTAAAAATTACACACGTTCCCAGCATGCATCATTGCTGAGTTGAAGATTAACTAAACGACACTTACTGATCACACAGCCACGCTGATGACAAGCCAAAGTGAAAACAATGAAGCATAAATCTCTCTCTCTCTCTCCATACACATGCACTCAAACACATTCACATGCCCGCGCGCTCACACACATACACATACATTCACACACACTTTCACTTCATTTTACATACACACACACACACATGTTCTCTCTCTCTCATGGTCTTTCTCTCTTTATTTCACACCGTCACTCCCACACACACACACAAACGTACACACACAAAGAAACACTTAATTTCCAATGCTCCAAACAAACAACAACCCACAGTAACAGAAAATGTTCAAGAAATGTATAGATACTATAATAAACAGATAATGGCAAAAGGTTCACCTTCAAAAGCATGCAATGCACAGTCATTCTTTCACTGCAAACAGTGCATATGATATAAACCTCAGTGTTTATAAAGACAATGTTCAAATAAACCTCAGTGTTTATAAAGACAATGTTCAAATAAACCTCAGTGTTTATAAAGACAATGTTCAAATAAACCTCAGTGTTTATAAAGACAATGTTCAAATAAACCTCAGTGTTTATAAAGACAATGTTCAAACTCCAAGCCTTCGTTGAAGGACCAACTGGTGAAAATATATCTCCAATGTGTACTGTTAAAAAAACACACTGGGGGCATTCCTGCGTTTAAGAAAGCTCTGCAAAACACTGGCAAAACTTTCCATTGAATGGATATTGTGAGAAAAGAAGACAGTCACTGCTTTACCAATTACAACCTACAGACAGACTCACATGAACAGACACATCAAAGTATACACACTTGCTACAATTTGTTTGGCATTTCAAAGCAATCTCACATACCCACTACAAAGTCACAAAACCTTATTACTGGAAAACATATAATAACTAAGGCTGCCAAATGAAAAATTTCTCATTTTACAAATTTAAAAAAATACTGCAATGATTGCGTCTCTCGAATGGAAGCACTCTAAAGTTCCTAGAAATATTTCCAAATTTCCTGACTCGTGTGAAGATTATCTTCATTTTGGCTCGCCCACGTATCTAGCTTCTATATCTAAGGAATTCCATCGTAACGGAATCAAGGGAGGTAAAAGAAAGACTGAGCAAAGTAACCACAGCACAAAACAACTCAACTTGCAAAATGGCACATTTTCTTGATCAACATTTCCAACAAAAAACAAGCAACCTTCGCAGCAAACAATACATGACATAAACTTGATTAATTAATTTCTTATTTCAAAGTAACTCGAACTAACAATTGTAGAATTTTAAAAAATCAGCTTTACAAAGGGAGATTATATCATCACTTTGAAACTGGTCCGTTACATAAACCTCTCCTTTATTCATGACGGCCATACAAGTCGCAACTAAAGTCAACCAAGCTTCTTCATTGAGCACATGTCTTACAATTATCCTTTAGTTATACATGAACATTGGCTCGGTTGATGAATAACTACATAGCTTTCTGTCCAGCCCATTAGACACAGAAGAACTGAGTGAAGTCTGCACAGTAGCGTTAGCACAATCAAAATATCAGAATTCAGTCACAAAACTGACTACGAATGACAACAAACGGCTTGTGTCTACTCTAGATAGCTTGGCATACCACACAATCTTACCAACATATATACCGGATTGGTATATTGGTTATACCAGATTGGTATATTGGTTATACCAGATTGGTATATTGGTTATACCAGATTGGTATATTGGTCAACATTTCTCAGCTCCAATCAATCCCTTTCACTTTCAACAATACTGAATGAGTCAGCAAACTCTGCAAAATGCTCTATGATCCTCTCCTACATTATCTGTTCCACCTGACTGAAGATTATTCACATGAAATTTTGGTTATGGACTAAATCACTTTCAACATAGGAGGAGTGATGACAGAAGCAGATTATGACTAAAGGAACATGTGTAAAGTAGCAAAATCCTCAAATCTCATGAAAATGCCAGTCAAGCAGCTATCACACATGAACCGAAGCAATCTTTCCTCGCCTACTCAGAGGATGCACACACAACAAAATCCTCAACAAACTGGCTCTGAGCGGATGGGACTTTCAAACAGATGAGACACACAACTTGTCACTTTTACTACGCTAGAACGGCACTGGTGATTGAAGAGTTATTCAAGAGGCAGTGACTCCAATGAAAACTCCCTGACACACAATCCAAACTAAAAAATATTCCCTTAGCAATTCGAATCAGGGGTCATTTTTTTTTCTCCAACATTTCAAATGACTATATTTGCTCATGGTCACACATTTTTCCTGTTGCATGTTACCAGCGGAGCCTCAGACCATCCCATCATGACAATGTGGACATTTGAAGAAGACACGACCGGTTAAAGTGTAGGTTGGGGGATCTTGGAGGAATATTGAACAAAATTGCAGGTAAAAAGCTCACCAAATGTCACCATGCCAGCTTGCACATAATGCGCTGATCCAAAATCTCTCAAAGTTCTAAACAGGTAGAATTCTACAGTTTTGAAACAATATAAAATTGCAAAATTGTAATCATTTCACATAGAGTTAAATAGACATACTTTTAAGGTTGGTTTTTTTCACTATTTTCCCCTTTTCTACTGGTCATTATTGATCACACAGCAAAACCAGACCCCTACTTCAACAGCACACGTAACTGTCCCACGTACAAAGCATACAATATGGGAAGATGCACACCAACAACAGACTTACAAACACATGCAGAGTATGTAAATCTACAACCCTTGAAAACCGTAACATCATAATTATTATTATGCAAGAATCATTCGATCCCATTCTCCATGAGACGTCTCTGATAGCAGGCTCACCACAAAGGTCACAATCAGCCACACACTCAGTCACACACTTCACCTTTCAACAGAAAAACACCTGACTCTATCAAAGAACTGAATGAAAGAGGAAGGTGAAAGAAAATAAGAAAAGAAACCCAGCCAATCATTGTCAAATGAAAGCATCAGAAAACACAAACAGAAAACCCAAACAACCAGAAAGAAGCAAACGACTTTTAACTATAAGAAAAAAAAGCAAAATGACCAACATGCTCAAACAATTATAGTGAAAGCAAAAATTTGAGTCCACCCAAAAAAAAAAAATCAAAGAATTTTTTTTCTGTTTTCACTTTCAACAAAAAAACCTGAGGTCTGATCATAAAAGTTGTATCCAAATCTCTGATTTCACCTTCACATTCTCATGAAATTTCTGGTCAGAGTGAATTTCAACAAACAAACAACATACAAACATACTTTGACTCACTTTGACTTCCATACAACTACATAGGCCATCGCATATATAAACTAATACAACCAAGCAACAGCAACGCTAGAATTAACTGTTCTATTATAACAGAAGTTGCAGATACATTGTCTACAGCACATAGACCTAGCTATGTACAAAAAAGTATTTAATACAAAATACTAATGACTACAGGATGGCAGACCCGACAAACATACAGAATTAAGTTCCTCTGGACAGAAACAAGCGATTCAAGTCTTTTGCAGCACAATATATATATACAGCTAGTTAATATCCGCGTAAAGCCTGTTAGAAACAAAAACATAAAAACCACAGAAGCTGTACACTACGACAAAATGATTTGGCAGAACAAATGCAAAAATCTAATGGACATCACAGCAGTTTATAACAATCAGAGGTGGGGCTGGGAGGTTGTAAATAACAAGCAGAAAATTGTAGTGCAGCAAAAACAAAGTTGTTCTTCCAAACAACTTCCCACTAACATGTCTCCACTATGAGAAGCTTACGTCTAAGTACAGCGGTTCAGGAAAAAGTTGACATAAAGATCGAATCTAATGGTTCATTCCCCGTCCACCCCACGCAGGTTTGGTGCCAAAATACTCGACACTCTTCCTTTGACCTTTGACTTGAGTGGGCGCAAGGTCAAAAACTGCACAAATTACACAACTCAAATTAATGTTTTCTCAACAACACAAACACACTTTAGTTGAAACACAGTTCCAGGATATTTTTGTATTTTGAAAGAAAATCAATCTGGAATAAAAAAGGATACAGCAAATTAAAACATAACATTGAGGCTTGCAACAGTAACAGCCTCTTATAGTAAAAAGATGGTACTTCTAAATTGCATACACCGATGAATGTTCACACACGCAAAAAAAAGCTGTAACTTGTTGTCTGAATCATAAGACAAAACAAGGACGAAATTTTCCCATGAACTAATCCTTAACAAAGTGACCACAGGAAAACCTCGGACAACTGATGCTCACACAATCCAGCAACAGAAGGACGTCGAGAACCCGTCCACGAGGCATAAATCAAGACATCAATTTACATACTCATCCTAAGACTTACATTTTTTTCTCCAATCACACAAACTGCTTTACCACTCGCCCCCTGCGATGAGACCCACACCAGGGGCGGCCACTCCTTGAGGAGCGTATCTTTTAGAGGTAACATTACCCTTTTGCTACTGTAGACTTTTCCAATACCGGCCTGTCTTACTCAACTCACAGACCTGACTTTCCCTTGATCCAAAAGTAAAAGAATTTCTCACAATTTTGAACCAAACTCTAAACAACATGTTTTAAAATAGGAGCTACACAAGACTCCAGCAGATTACAATCATGTAGAAAACCGACTTTTGCCACCAAAAAAGAAAAAAAAAACATTTTAAAACTCGGGAAACAAACGCGCCTATAATGAATTTACATATATATAAATGTATACTGTTATATATGGCCAGGGCAAAAAATGATCAATACTTGCAAAGCATACATCAAAACCAGTGTGGATCTTCTGTGTCCTTTACAGTCAATCCTATGTACGGCCCCACAGTAGTTATTCAAAAATCGGGTTTTCTGCAGCCTGGACATTTGTCCAGTTTAATGATTGTTTCACTGTATATGTTAGAGAGGTCTGGTGACGTAATGCTTCCTTGCCTCACTTAAACTAATCTGCGTCTTTTGAAAGGCAAAAAAAACCCACACAAAAAACATGTCAAATCCGACTTAACTCTAGGTTCTTGGCGGGTCCAAAGTCACCAAGATCGGGCTGTCAGTTCTATAAGACATGGAAAATTGTTTGGACTTCTTTAATTTACTACATATGTCCTCTACAAGACACAAAACCAATCATGGAAGGCAGAGCATTTGGTCGTCTGTCAGAATCTCCAGTAAAGAGCAAATCTTCCAACTTACTCTAAGGTCATTGGACCACAGGTTAGAAGAAACCTCTCATAAGAGTTAAAAACACAGACTCAAAGATTCTGGAAATCTTATGAAAAGTGGCACACAAATTTTAAGCTCCATCTAAGCCAATACTGAAAGCTCCTACCCTTATGATTTCTTTTTCCCAGTGAACCAACAAAAGTGGGCGTGCCCAATCAGTGCAACAAACAGGACCAGTCAAGCAACATCAAGTGCTGCAAGCACCACGAAGGGCGATGACTGAGGAGGGAACGTGCAAGACCAGTCCCTCCCAGCTCAAAAGGGCACAGCAATGAGGCATTTCTCAATCAGGTTTACAAATGTCCATAATTACACAATCATGCTCCGGCATTTTATAAAAGCGAATATATATGATCACCATCGCAAGTCAAAATTCCCAGCTATATATGTGAGGCAACGTGGTGAAATCAAGCCTTCGTCAAAATAATGAAATCGAAGAAATGGCCTATTTCTGCTGGTTTGGCCATTAAAAATTGTTGGTGTTTTTTGGCTTAAAACCTTTTAAGTTTATTCAAAAACATATTTCTTTGTGGGTTTACTGAAAAACATTGATTAAAGGCACAAAAATTATTTCATTTCCAAAGAACTTTCAAGCAATAGAAGTTATCAAAACTTTGGTGGTCATTTTCTCGATAATTTTAACTCTGAAACTAGGTGACCCCCACCTTTTTCCATCAGAAATATCTCGACTTCTATTCAACCAAGATAGACGGAAGTAGGGCAAGGGGTTTCATCAAATGCAAGACAAAAATAAAAGCTTTAAGCTGAAACCAATAACTCCACAAGCCCAAAAATTGACAAGCGCCTGATTCCACCATGTCATCACACATATCTTTTTTTTATAAAGATACTGTTTTCTCTTTTTGAACACAAGCCAGTCTCTGTCTTGTTCGGGTACTTCATGAGAGCTATGCTGGTGGTCTACCCCCGGGAAGCATTAACTCATGTCTGGGTCCGGCTGCCCTCCTCCCCCCGGCAAGCCTTGCTGCTGCTGGGCGGGCACCTTAGGCTGTCCCTCTCCCGTGGAGCTGACAGTGATAGTGACAGAGGTGGTGGTGGTCACCGGCTGGCTACTGACGGCAGACGTTGTCACAGTGGTCAGTCCCGTGGTGCCACCAGCGTTCACCCCGGCGGGCTGGGTCACGCTGGGTGCCACCTGCATGTTGACATCGTTGTCGTAGTCGGCTGTGGCGAGGGCCACGCTGCTGCCCGCGGGGCCTGGCTCAGTGCTGGTGCCGCCGCCATTGCTGTTGCCGTTGCTGCTGCTGCTGTTGTTGTTAAACTCGTGGCTTTCCCGCTCAGTGAGAAGGGCTGTGGCTTCTTGCAGCGTGTACTGAGAGAGAAAAAAAAACAAGGTAAGATTCTTCTGTTTACATAGAGAAACAGACATATCTGTCTGCCCCGTTCAATATCAGTCGTAAGACGCACTGTGCTATTATAAGCTACGAGGCATGAAAGGCAAAAAAGTGAGTTTCCATGAATTTTTTGTTTTTTGGATATATTGAAAGTTTGATGTCTTTTGTTTCATTTAAGATAAAAATAAACAACTATAATCGACTATAAATATTTTATTTTGATTTATTTTAAAGGTGTGTGTGTGGTTTGTTGTGAGCTTGGATGACGAGATAAAGGAATGTGGACCTTGCTAGTGTGTAGCTGTGAGATTATTTTTAGAACCATGGCCACTAGTGGAAAATAAAAAATCTTTGCTCCAACGTTCTTCATTCGCAACTATGTTTAGATTTTGACCCCTTTTCGAGCATGAATGGTCTGAAATGTAAACAACTCTGATTGGTAAAACACAGTAAAAATGATAACTTCTAGCTGTGTTTGCACATGGACATAAAAGGTGTTGAGCCAGATAACAAAAATTTGATAAAAATTGCTAAGCAGTGAGAATGCTGCTGTTTTCTTCGATTTCATTATTTTGACGAGAGCCTGATTCCTCCACGCTGTCTCACATATACATAGCTGCCCACCCCTCTCTGTGGCTATCAGGGACAGCCTTGCTCAAAAGCAGGGACATTGAGTAATTATCAGGGACACCTTGTATTTGTCAAGAAAAGCTTGCCGCCTTTTCAGTTTCTTTGCTTTACTTGGTCCAGAGTCAGACTTAAAACTCATCGCCAAACGTTTTGACGCCATCTTTTCATATGAATGAAGAAGCCAAGCGCCGCGCATCCGTATCAGCTGACTTTGTCGAGACTACACACCTGCCAACTCTCCCCAATTTTTCAGGAATCTCCCAAATTTTCATCGTCATATATATATGCAAACATATTCGCAGGCACATACATTCTCTCTCACTCACACACATAGAAATGCAACAACAACAACACAAACACACACGCGCGCACACACACACACACACACACACACACACACACAAATACACACCTAAGCACTCTGCTCACACATGCACACAAACACACAACATACACACACAGACACACACACACAGACACACACACACGAACACACATAAACACACACACTTATACAAACAGCAAACAAACAACCCACCTGAGCACTCTGCGTCCTCTGGAAGGACTTGCGGTTCGAGTCTTCGTTGGACATACTGGTCGTCGTGCTACTCCAGAAGTACTCATTCATCTGTGGAGCACGCACAAGCTGGGTCAGGGGACAGCAGAACAATAACAACATATCTCGCTCAGCACAAAGTTACCCCCACATGAGCCACAATCAAGTAACAAATGCAGTTTTTGGGACACCTGAATAGACATAAAGGTTGTGAACAGCTAGCTCTCACTGACACAGTTGAAGGCAAACGAGGCAGGGGTAGGCCCAGAGCAATATACTTGGAGAACCTAGACAGAATGGTGGTTGATGGGGAAAGATCAGGGTGATATAGCTTTTTTAAGAGCATCCGAGCAAAGGAAGTAATGGAGAACCATGATCGCCGACGTCTGTCGCAGAACTGGCACATGATGATGATGATGGTGATGATGAGCCCCTCAGTCTGACCACAAAAACAAGCACAACGACTTATCAAATGAATGCTGCTGGTTTGAAGAGACTAAAACAAGATATGTGAAAAGAGCCCTGACAGGTAGATTGAAAAATCCCCCCTACAAAAATATTTGTGAGAGGTAGTTTACAAAACCCTACAAGTCAAAAGGCATGAGCATCCTCAGCCCCCCTTATTCTACAACTCATGCTGAGCAGTAATCATTACTGACTCAATGAGCACCCTACAGAAGGTACAGAAAGGGATGCTGTATGTGGACTGGAAGGCTACGATCAGGGAGAGCAGCCTGGAAAGAGTGGCCTGGATCTTCTGCCCGGGTCACGCGGGGGTAACCGGCAACGAGAGAGCAGACAAGCTGGCTGGAGAAGCAAAAGAGGGAGGGAATTTGACACGGGACCCACCAACCGTCCTAACCGCTGTAAGGGAAAATTTGAGGAAGAATAGGGCGGATAGCAGTTCCCACACTCTAGGGAGACTGAAGGAGAAGGGGATCCAAAGAGGAGAAGGGAAACACAGCCACCTGTGTGGACCAGTCCGACGGATCTCCAACCAGATTATGATGGAAACTATAAGCAGACAGACTCTGGGATGGATCCTGAAGAGGGGGGGGGGAGCAGAGATGGACATGTTCCGACTGCAGTGACCCCAACACAGTAGACAGGTAAGGACAAGTAAGTCATGCTGACATAAAATAACATCCTGGCATGCCAGAACTTTTTTTTTTAGTAAGTGTTTTACAGCACTTGCAACAACATAAGTTCCTATAAGTGCCGCAGATTTAAGGTGTTACAAGAGAGTAAGAAATACAAGCAAGAAGAAGGTGGGGAGATAAGCACGATAGATGCTTGATAGGAAAGAAGGAGCAAAACTACACCAGAGCACCCGCCAACCACCCACATGCTAGGGCTACAAAAGTCACAAGAGGAATGTGAACATTCCTTTCCAGTTTCGGTGTGATCAGTTATGCAACATTTTTCATCTTAAACCTTTGATCCCACATCCTCTGAGCCCACAGGCCTGAGCACTTGAGCTTCCTTAGATAAACTGCTTGATCAGCACCACTACACACTGAGGCGGGCGTACGGCGCCTAGAGGGGTATAGGTTAGTGCTGGGCGGCTAGGTTCCCGATTTTGAAAGCTAGGAATCGTAGGAATCGACTCCGAACCCAATTACTTACATTCTAATTATGTGATTTTTTTCCCTGTGGTTACCTGATTGGTGCCGAACGTCTTCAGGCTTTAGGAGAACCTTGATTGAGGAACACTACGAAGCATCAACTTCTTTTTTGTTTTCAAAAATAAATTCTTTTTCAAAAAGAAGATTTTAATAATAAAAATAACTGGCAACCGTTGGTCTCGTAAAAAGGAGACGGAATTTAACTTCCTTAGTATTAATCGCGGGAATTGGTTCCGGAATCGACTCTTCACCCAGCTCTAGTATAAGTAGAGTAAGCTCAGATGTGCGTTTTGGTCCGTGGAGTTAAATAAAAGCACGTATTTAGAAGAAAGAAATGTGGAAAGAAGCATTGGAGAATATTGCAACATCAGGCAGGTCTGGTGGAAAGAGAGGCGAAGGCAACATGGCTGGGAGTTTTAGTGATTGTAAGAGTACAACTGAGGCAGAGGCAGACAGAGGGAAAAGATACTGGACAAGATGACAACGTGGCTAGGAGCAGCAAGAACAACAGACACCATTGCTGCAACGAAAGACAGAGTGAAGTGGAGGACCATGATCGCCCATGCCAGTCGGCAAGGCACCGGATGATGATGATTTAGAAAAAGTATGGAAATAACACGTTAAAGATAATATTGTATAGTATACTGTGGAAAGGACATGTACTTGAAGGAAGGGATATGGAAAGATTTCACTCAAAAAGTTGTGACATTTTATTTCATTGAATCATGACCTGATGTAGTAATCTTTGTAGATTAATACATGAGAGATATGTACACGGAGGTAAGAAATATCCCTAGATTTCTCAAAAAATATTCTATCAGCACATTATATGACATCATGAACTGATGGAGATAGCCTACTTTTTTAGTGAGCCAGTCGACGGCCCACTGCCACTTGCTGGGCGTGTTGAGCAAAAAGTCCTTGGCCCCGGCCGACTTGTTCATGAGGGACACCAGGAACTTGATGCACTGGTAGGATCTGCGACTGTCCGACACGTGGTTGTGACGAATGACCGCTGGAACAAACAGACGCAAAGACATAGGTGACGATTAAAATGACAACCTGTACCCATACACACCGAGATATTTGGTCACTTTTAAGCACAAGGGGACTATCCCGAAAAACGCTGTTCTGAGAAAATCACAGGTAAAGTTTTTGGACCCTTGTTCTGTATCTTTAAAAAACAAGGAGAGTTTTCTCTATAACCAAACAAAACACCCTAATGAAACCAAACTTCTCCTATATGTAGGGCAATGCCCACTTTTGGTGCAAGTCAAGATTTCTGGAAACCCCCGAAATCTGGGTTAGCCCGCTTGTCCTTAAAAGTGACCATTTATGACTTAGAATTACTGCTGGAACAAACACATACAGAGACATCACTGATGATTAGATTTACTGCTGGAACAAACACACACACAGACATCACTGATGATTACATTTACTGCTGGAACAAACACACACACAGACATCACTGATGATTAGATTTACTGCTGGAACAAACACACACACAGACATCACTGATGATTAGATTTACTACTGGAACAAACACACATACAGACATCACTGATGATTAGATTTACTGCTGGAACAACCACACACAGACATCACTGATGATTAGATTTACTGCTGGAACAAACACACACACAGACATCACTGATGATTACATTTATTGCTGGAACAAACACACACACAGACACAGGTGGTGATCAGAATCAGTGCTGGAACAAACACACACACAGACATCACTGATGATTAGATTTACTGCTGGAACAAACAGACACACAGACATCACTGATGATTAGATTTACTGCTGGAACAAACACACACACAGACATCACTGATGAGTAGAGTTACTGCTGGAACAAACACACACACAGACATCACTGATGAGTAGAGTTACTGCTGGAACAAACACACACACAGACATCACTGATGAGTAGAGTTACTGCTGGAACAAACACACACACAGACATCACTGATGAGTAGAGTTACTGCTGGAACAAACACACACACAGACATCACTGATGAGTAGAGTTACTGCTGGAACAAACACACACACAGACATCACTGATGAGTAGAGTTACTGCTGGAACAAACACACACACAGACATCACTGATGAGTAGAGTTACTGCTGGAACAAACACACACACAGACATCACTGATGAGTAGAGTTACTGCTGGAACAAACACACACACAGACATCACTGATGAGTAGAGTTACTGCTGGAACAAACACACACACAGACATCACTGATGAGTAGAGTTACTGCTGGAACAAACACACACACAGACACAGGTGGTGATCAGAATCAGCGCTGAAACAAGTACAAGGAGTGACTTACAGGACAATTAACATCAGTGCCTGAACACGCGCACACAAAGGGACAACATACACGAGGATAAGATTGACCGCTGAAACAAACACATTCAGAGACATAGTTTATAATTAGAATCAGCGTAGAAACAAACACACAAAAATATCAATGACGATTAAACTCCCAGCCAGAACAAACACACACAGAGACATCAATGATGATCGGAATCACTGCTGGAACAATACAACAAAGACATACAGATTTATAATGATTAGAATCACTGCTGGAACACTACAACAAAGACATACAGATAATGATTAGAATCACTGCTGGAATAAACACACACAAAGACAAAGATAATAATTAGAATCACCACTAAGAAAAAAGAACACAAAGAAAGACATAAACGACAATTAGAAACACTGCCGGCTTAATGAAAACGGACGAAAAGACCCCCCAGACCTCCCCCTCCCCCAGTGGGCCAAAAGGTTCACTCACTCTGCAGTCCCTCGTATTTCCTCCCGTCGTCTCCCTTGAAGCCATCAATGACCAGCTGAAGCCGGGTTGTCTGTAGCGGATCCTCCAACGTCTGGGGACAAGTCACAACAACAGATCATACCTCTACTCAACTTTTCAAAGAGCCAATTTTATTTTTCAAAGAATAGACGATGGCACAAAAAATCTATCAACGCGTACTTTAGTTTAGTTTTAAATCAAAAGAGTTGTATGGCCATTGCGACACAATAAGGCCATATAAGTTTTGTTTTAGTAAGAGTTTTACGGCACTCGCAACTGCATAAGGTCATATGAGTGCCAGAAGATTAGAGGTGTTACAAGAGAGTAACAAACACAAAAAAGAAGGAGGAGAGATAAAGATTATAAATGTTTGATCGGAGAGAAGAAGCAAACCACACCAGAGCACCTACCAACCACCTTCTTCAACAGGTTTGCACTCCACCTTTTAATGCTAGTTTCTGTTTTAAAAACACAGAATAAACCACAGCTCCAAACCCCTTCAATCAGCTGGCACTCCACACTTTATACATATTAATAGTTTCTTAAAATGAAAAATATCACAGCATTTAATTCTTCCAAACACCACATGCTCCATACTCTTTCTGAGTTCATTTTTTTAAAAAGAAGAATAAACCACAGCACTAAACTTTTTCAACCACGCATACACTCCACACTTTTTCAGAATACATCTATATTTCTACAAGAAAACAAAATAGATCACAGCATAAAAATACTTCCACCAGCTCTCACTCTACACTTTTTTAGGGCACAATTCTTTACAAAAACGAAAAAAAAATGATTGGCCACAGCACCAAATTCTTTCAACCAGCACTCACTCATAAGACACGAATTCAATCTCATGTGCACAAATTTATTTTACCAAGTACCCCTGTCCTGATGGGATGCTGAATTCTTCTCAACTCAGGTTGGCTCCACCAGACAAGGTCAAACAGCCCTCCTCCTCGACGATCTATATATATCACATCGGTTGTTTGTTTCAGTAAAGAGAAGTACAATGACCCAATAGCAGCTGTTTAGCACAAGAAAGAAAAAAGAAGACATAGGAAACAAAAAACAGAAGGAGAAAGAAGAAGTAGGACTACCCGTAACACCCTCCAAATACCTGAAAGTGAAAGTGTGTTGATGGGGGCACAATACATATGTGAGGCAGCGTGGTGGAATCAGGCTCTCGTCAAAATAAAGAAATCGAAGAAAACTACAGTTTTCTCCCTGCTAAGCAATTTTTATCACATTTTCGTTTTTTGGCTCAACACCTTTTATGTCCATTTACAAACACATTCCTTTGAGGATTTCACCGAAAACGTTGATTAAAGGCACAAAAATATAAATTTACAATTTCCATGGACTCTCCAGCTTTGGAATTTACTGAGTTTTGGCGGCCATTTTCTCGCTAATGTTACCTCTTAAATCAGGTGACCCCCACCTCCTTCAATCCAAAATATCTCCACTTCTATTGAAGATGGATGGGTAAATTTTTCATTGAAAGCAAGACAAATGAACAAGCTTTAATATGATACCAATAACTCAATATGCCACAAAATTGACGAGAGCCTGATTCCACCACGCTGCCTCACATATTTCAAATTATTTCCAATCTATATCTTTCAACATTCTCTCTCTTTTCTCTGCAAACAACTCTGCTCCCTCCCACTCACCAGTATCTGAGTCAGCAAAGAGAAGATGGGCTTGAGCTCATTGGAAGGCACCGTGGAGTACTGCCACTGTAAAAAAGAAGAAGAAAGGTTATCAACGACTGTCCACATTTATTTCACTGAACTTCATGAACAATTTTAAGGATAAAAGTAGTTCACAGGACTATAGTTTGAAAAAAATCTAAAGTGCTCTAAAGAATAAGCTATAGGGTAAGCTACTCTTCATAGAGCTGTCACAGTGCTCTAAAGAATAAGCTCAAGGGTAAGCTACTCTTCATAGACCTGTCACAGTGCTCTAAAGAATAAGTTATAGGGTAAACTACTCTTCATAGAGCTGTCACAGTATTTACTGACTCTCATATCCACATAAACTTCCAATAAATAAAGAACAGAAAAAACAACAACTCATAAATAGATCCACAAAGATAAAATATTAAGTGGGAACGAGACATCCATTCCCCTAATGGCACACGCACGAATGCATAAACGCACCCATGCACGCACACACACACACATCGAGTCACACACATGCACACACAGCTCCCCCCCCCCCCCCACACACAAATTGTTTAAAAACAGCCCCCCCCCCCACACACACACAGCTACACACACACACATAGCTACACACAAACACACACACAAACACACCCACACTACCATTATTTGCTTGAGCAGCGTTTCGGTGAACTTCTCGTTACAGAAGCTACAGTAGAGCAACATGTCAAATAGAGACAGCAGGTTGCCCCCGGCCAGCTCCCGCACCGCCATCACCACCTGAAACAGTACACAGTCCCAGTTTTAGTCATTGTTTTACAGCACTTGCAATACCCTTCTCCCTCCGAGACCTAACATTGACAACACACTCTATGGAACATTACAGCAACTGCAGCAAACCTGCACTTATCACTACATGGCATTGGACAGAAGGGCGAGAGCCCAGCTGTTGCTGGATCGATAACAACAACAACAACAACAGCACTTGCAAAACAAACAGGTCAAATAAATTGAATTTTAGTGAGAGTTTTACGGCACTTGCGACGCAATAAAGTCATATAAGTGCCGAAGAATAGATTATGCGTTACAAGAGAGTTACATACACAAAACAGAAGGAGGGGAGATAAGGACCACAGAAGTCTGATAGGAAAGAATGTGGTCTATTTGGTTGTTTTTGGTTGTGGCAGGGGGTTAGGCCTCGCCTATTGTACTGTTTGGCTGAAAGTGTGAGAGTGAGTAAAGTGTGAGTCTCAGTTCAGTTGTATTGTTTGCAAGTGTATAAAAGCAGTCTGGGTTACCACAGGTTAGACTTTAGAGGGGAGAGCTGTAGCAAGGCAGAGGAGGCCTGCTGAGAGTTCAAGTGGAGAAAAGGCCAGTTAGAGCCTCGGTTTATTTCAGTGTAACGTGTGAGATTCCAACGCATCATGGCCCCATCGCTGAGGAAAGGATCACCACCCGGAGAGAAACAGGTTTGGCTAATCCTTGTTGTAGGCGCAGGCAGACAGAAGGTTAGAGTTAACCATTGGTTTATGTTTAGTTTTAGTAGAGGTTTTACGGCGCTCGAAACTGCATAAGGTCATATGAGCGCCAGAAGATTAGAGGTGTTACAAGAGAGTAACAAACATAAAAAAGAAGAAGGGGAGAAAAGGATGATAGATGTTTGATAGGAAAGAAGAAGCAAACCACACCACAGCACCTGCCAACCACCCACTTGTTTTATGTTCAAGTAACAACAAAGAAGAAGCAAACCACACCAGAGCACCCGCCAACCACCCACGGTCAAATAAATGCCAAAGAATAGAAGTATTATTACCAGAGAGTAACACACCCACCAACCACCCACAATCAAATAAATGCCGAAGATTAGAAGTATTATTACCAGAGAGTAACATGCAGGGAAAAAGAGAGATAAGGAAAATAGATGTTTGATAAGAAAGGATGAATAATGGTCATAAGTATGTAGGAGAAAAAGTAAGACACTGCTCCAATAATGGTCATAAGTATGTAGGAGAAAAAGTAAGACATTGCTCCAATAATGGTCATAAGTATGTAGGAGAAAAAGTAAGACATTGCTCCAATAATGGTTATAAGTATGTAGGAGAAAAAGTAAGACATTGCTCCAATAATGGTCATAAGTATGTAGGAGAAAAAGTAAGACATTGCTCCAATAATGGTCATAAGTATGTAGGAGAAAAAGTAAGACATTGCTCCAATAATGGTCGTAAGTATGTAGGAGAAAAAGTAAGACATTGCTCCAATAATGGTCATAAGTATGTAGGAGAAAAAGTAAGACATTGCTCCAATAATGGTCATAAGTATGTAGGAGAAAAAGTAAGACATTGCTCCAATAATGGTCATAAGTATGTAGGAGAAAAAGTAAGACATTGCTCCAATAATGGTCATAAGTATGTAGGAGAAAAAGTAAGACATTGCTCCAATAATGGTCATAAATATGTAGGAGAAAAAGTAAGACAGACAGACAGACAAAAACAACAAACAGAAAAAGTATGCAATACAGACACAAAAGCACATGATCACAGTGAGTCATTTCTCTGTTGTTTGATTGGGTAAAGAGAAGCACATCGACACAATTACAATCATTTGAAGAAGAAAAATTGGTCAAAATGTCAACAAAAAAAAGAAAGAAAACTGGGGTATTCGAGTGACATTCCATAATTCCTGGTAACATATATATATCCAAGTGTTTCCCACTTGCACTTAACAGTAAAAATCCAATAAACACAAAACAAGGAATTTAGATGCTGTCATCTCTAGCTCTCAGCCCATGATATTTAAAATCCAGGAATAAAGAAAACCTCACCTCTTTGATGTATCTCTGAGATTCTTCCCCAAAGACGTAGGAGCTCATCTCAGGAGACATTTTCAGGAAGATACTGGGCAAAACTGTGACCGGTTTCCTCTGAGGGAACTCTCCACAAGCTGGAGGAAAGAAGATTCCTAGTGTGAGTGAATGTGCATACCCAACCAGCCCCAATTTTTACCACTTTGCAGTCACACACACCCAGCAGTACAAAATAACCCATTTGGTCACCCAGCCAGGAGATTGGCGGCAATGGACTTCTCGAGCCTGGCACAGAACTGCACCAAGTGACCGGAACGGATCTTTTTCACTGTCGCATTATTGCGCCAAGTGAACCCAAAGTGTTCAGTAGGACTACTTTGTTACGGTTTGATTACCAAATGTGTCGTGACGCGCTGAAATCAGGCGCTCAACAGTTTTTTAGCATATGGAGTCATTGGTATCAACATAAAGCTTGTTCATTTGTCTTGTTTTTGATGAAAGAAATACCCATCTATTTTAAACAGAAGTCGTTGCATTTGCGAAGGAAGGAGGTGGGGGTCGCCTGGTTTCAGAGGTAAAATTAACGAGAAAACAGCCACCAAAGTTTGGTGCTTCCCATAGCTTGAGAATGCTTGGAAACAGAGCCTGTGTACTTTATTCGGGGTTGAGCGCTATATAAATGTCATTTATTATTATTATTATTAGAGAGAGAGAGAGAG